ACGGAAAAAAAAAAAAAAAAAAAAAAAAAAAAGGCTGTCCCACAGAGCTTGAATAAATGAAAAGCTCAAAGGGTTGTCTTGGGTGGGAAAGATAAGGGGTGTGGTTGGTCCCATAGCTAGTCTCTTTCACACAGCACTGGATATGGTGGCTGGAAGCCAAGGGGAATCTCTAAATCCTTTCCTTGCAGGAGCTGGTTGTAGAGCCTGTAGTCAGCCCTGCTGAGGGAGTGGGTGACATCTGCCCCTTGGTACTTCAGAGGGCCACTGAAGGGGTTTTAAGGCTTATCCTCAACCCCCTTGCTGTGCAAAGGAGCAATAGCTCTAGAGGTAAGCTTGAGGTACACAGGCTCCCCCCCCCCCTTTTTTTTTTTTTTTTTTTTACTGTGGAGCAAGTATTACCCTGGAGGTGAATTTCTAAGCAGGAGATGGGTTCCATAAATACCCAGGATTAGTCTTCACATAAAATCTAAATAATGACAGGAAAGGGAGAGTGGGAAGCAGGACCTGCCAAACATGAATACTCTCACTCTTCAAATAGTCAAAGTGTTTCTGTTCTGATTGTGATTCTCTCACATCAGTGGGATAACATGTCTAATAGTCCCTGAAGTTATGCTACTATATGTGATCTGAGATAAGAAAATATGGTTCCACACAGTGCGGATCCAAAAAAAGGCCAACATTACAGAAACATACAGACATTATTGTAGTAGAAATGCACAAATGTATGTAATAACCACATGTAGACGGTGAACCCACCATTGAGGACACCCAAGGAGTCACTAGTCTCACCCAGACTTCCTTCAAAGTGATAGAATGAGTAGAGTGGAGAGCAAAGGAGTGATATGGGATGGGGTGGGTCAAAAGTGCTTTATATGAAGGACTACAGACAAGTCTGAGCTACAGCAAGTAGTGTTTGTAGGTCTAGAATGGGAACATCTCAGAATCCAGGCCTAGGGTACTAAAACAACAGGGACAGAGGCCTTCCCTACCAGCTGGATCTCAAATCCTTAATCATGACAACTGGGTAGGAGGGCAACAAACACATCCCTAGGTAAATGAGTGTAAATACAGATCTCTTTGTTTTATAAAGAGGAAACACAAAAACACCAAAATATGTTAACTTTGGCTTGGCTAAGTTAAGTCTAAAAGTATTTTTCTGTGTAGGATATGGTAAAAGAAGGATTAGGAAACTCTCTTCCTTTTGTACTATGAACAGAACTTGAAATTCTGCAATAGACCCTTACTGTGGCATAACTTTTTAAATCATTCTGGAATACTTGGAGCCCAAGATCTTTTGCCTCTAGAATCTCGGAGAGTAGTAAGAAGAAAAGACTTAGTCTTCATCGCTCCCAAGCAGAAAGCCCAGAAGGAACTGGATAGCACGCTGGCGGTCACTTGGAGTCTGTCTTGTCATAAGGTTGGGTGGAGGCCTTAGGAGAAGACTAGTGAAGAGAGTAGCTAGAGGGTGAGAGAAAGAAAAGGTGAAACCTCTGTCAGACATAACCTAAGCAAAATTTCAGGGTTGGGGGTCTGGGGCCAAGGACAAGAGGAGGGAAAAGACTGCCATGTGTCTGGACATCCAGTAAGGTATATACACTGTATACAATGCACACAAATTGTCCTCAACAAACACCCCGTGCAGCCATTCTTATGAAGTACTCTTACCAATCATGTTGTCACTGACGTTGTTGTATTCAGAGTATTTTAAGAGTTCTCGAAGGAATGCCATCAAGTAACGGAAGACATTTCTATGGCACCTTGGAAGCTGGGAAATCACCTGTTTAAAAAAAAAAAAGGAGGTGGGCAGTGAGGAAAACAGGTGGAAGAAGAGAATAAGAAGAACTTATAGCTGCCATAAAAGTAGTTTACAATCCAATCTTTACTGGACCCCATTCATCTGTCACTACCCTCAGTTATTTAATCATGACCAACACGACACCTGCTAAATTATAACTCTGAAGTAAAAATGTTCATACTCTTTGGTCTCTATCCACTCAACGACCAGGCCATGTAGCCATCACACATTCACATGCACACCCTGCCTCATAAGCAGGTCAGTGTTAATCTGCTTTTTTTCCCATTTCCGTGGACAGATAGCCACGGCATCTGCCAAGTTGAATGGTTTTCTCTACGATGTCACTTGGCATGGATGGGGACCTCCTACCAATACTCACTAGTCCTATTTACAGGTAGTCTCAGCTATTGTGTGTCAAAATCATTTCAGGATTAAAAATATACACCAAGAAAAAAAAAGAATGGCTCCCAAGTGTCACCCACCCTTCCTGGTAATGTCAACCAAAATTCCATGTACAATCAGCTTCACCAATCTTACCCCAGAGTAGAGGTATCCACCCCACTATGTACTGGGTAAACAGAAATAGGCCAACTGGGAAAAGGTGGCAAATACAAGTATAATAGGAAATAACCTAAAATTTAAGGGTCTCAACTCTCAGTGCTGGTGGTTCTGCCATGAATAACAGATCCAGACCCATCCTACTACATATCTGGCTACCTATCTGGCTTTGTAAAAGTGATGAATTCTTTATGGGGGAACCTGCCCCAAATACATCTTCAGATTGGTAAAATTCACCTGTCGGCAGGTCCGGGGATCATGAGCAGAGTCAAGACATCGCTGATACAGCTCGTAACAGATGACCGGCTCTGGCAGCGCTTCCAGGAAAATGAGTAGTGCTTCAGCCACAGAATGATTACTGCCAGCTGAATCAAATTAAGTCAATGGAAAGGGGCTTCAGAAAAAAGGCTGCACAGAGATCCAGTTGGCTCTTTTCTTTAAGCTCCCACAGGGCCTATTTCCCACCTCTTAATTAGGGCACACTGATACTAACTGGGGTTTGATATGTTATTGGTCCAAGTACCCTGCAGCTGAATTGATCACTCTTGGGAGGTTTGGCCCAACTTCAGTCAGGGAAATATGGCTTGCAGAATGATAATTCACACTGCACCAGTCCCATAAACCAGTCCCCAATGTTTCCCATCCTTCTCCCTGCCCTAGTGACAGTGGTGGCAGGAGTAATTGGTCACCTGAAGGAAAACAGCACCAGTGTTGTGGCCCTATATTCCATGTCTATTAGAAGTCATTGTTACCTACCCCTTGATTCCTTTTAGTAAGGGCCTGATACAGAGAAAGCTCAAAAGTTCCTGAAAGGAACAGAGTAATAATTGGATAGTCAGTGATTATCTTATAATAAAAGACAATTATGAAGAAAATAAATATGGAAACAGAAAAATCAATGTAAGAAGAAGAGTTTGGCCTAGTACTCATCCAGCTTGGTTGAAAAGGATACGGATTGTTTCAGGAATGCTGGTATCCAGACAATCAATGATCTGCTGTAACTCTTCCTGCATTCCAGGGGTTTGGAACAGGTCCTCCTACCAAAGAAGCCAGAATGAAGGAAACAAGGAAATATAATCACCCCTAATGTTCTGAAGCTCACCCAGAGATCAGGAGAGCACAGAAAGCAAAAGGGAAGGTGGTATGCATATTAATAATTAGGAGTGGAAGTGTGAAAATAGCACCTTTTTCCTATATGGACTCTATTATCCATGTGAAATTTTATTCCAAACAAGAAAATGATCTTCAAAGGTTTTAGCCTATACCTGATAAGGCAAGGGAATAGAAGGCTAGATTAGGAAATCAGGTGTTCCACTTCTAGCCTCTTGACGAGAAGTAGAAGGCAGAGTCCGAACAGTATAACCACATTCAAATACTGATACTACTGAATTCTGGAGAAGAAGGAAATGGCATGCTTATACTAAACCTTGCTTTCAAGTTATACTACTGTTCAGTAGGTAAGGGAACATTATTCTTTGGTCCCAAGAAAGTTCTATTTTGGGGGGAATGAGTTGGGGGTGAGTAGTATTTTAGATAGGATTTAAAAGATAAATTAAGACCAAATTAAAGAAATGGGCTTGAAGTTTGCTTTGGACTTTAAAATCTGTAATGCCTACATGACAGGTAAAGAAGGCATTATAGACTCAGGTACGTGGTTGTCCGGAGGAAGAGCATGTAGCCAGGAGAGAGGCATTCTCAGTACCAGCCCTGGCTCTGCCACTACACTTAGGCTGTGGTCTTAGGTAGATCGACTCAGCTTGCCTGCTTCAGCTGTCACATCTGTGAACAAGGACATTTCCATCTGCCCAGGCAATCCGACAGTGCTGCTGTGTGGTGGTAGCTTGGGAAACTTAAAAGCACTATGCTGACATGAGGTATTATAATTTCCCATAGAACTTGTACACCTTCCAAAGTTGCAGGGAAGGTCTACTCTCACTTACCTGGTGACAGGCATATTTGAATAAGTGATCTACTAGAAGCCAGATCTCCTTGGGAACCTGAAGGGGTCTCTCACTGGCACCTTCATCCAAGGGGACCATCTGCAGAAGGGACTTCTCCTAATAGACAAAAAAGGAGAGTCAAAGGGGTCTCAGAATACAGATGTCTGTATTTAACCTAATCTCCTTCCAATTCTGATCAGGCGGGCACAACGTGATCTTCATCTCTTAAGATTTTTCATTTTTTCTCACTGGACACCACTGGTCAGAAGGCAACCGAAATTGATTCCCATAGTTAAAGAATCTCCTTTCCTAAATGCTTCACTTAATGGTTAAGCATTTCATTTGGGTTTATGATGTTTATCATGTGGATGCATTCTGTGTTGCAAATCCTTTCAGTGGTGATGCTGAGAACCAGTGCTACAGCAATACAGTCACAATAGAGTCCACACACTGGTGACTTGTGGACCATTAAATTATAATTGTCAATATGGTACTTTGAGAGATAAGTGTCTGCATTTAGGTTTTTGTTTACTTTTAACTTACTCTTTCTTCAAGTCTTAACACAAATACTATTGTTTTCACTGAGGATTTAAATGAGGTTCTTTGGTTCTCAAGAACTAAAGACAACTCTCTGCATTAGACCCACATACACGAATACTTCTGCTTGATAGAAGTTCTCATCTTAAGGCACTAAAACTCACAAGCCTTAAGATCCAAAAACAGTAAACTGATCACAGCAAACGAGCCAGAGACACCACAAAATGTCTAGGGTCTGAGTCCAAAAGTTATTGTTTGAAAAACCCATAAGTAACACAACTTAGATGAGTAACTAAGTTTGAATTTGAAAATTGCTAGGAAATAAATGCAGTTATCTTATGTTTATGTAGTCAAATAGAAAATATATGAAAAAGATGTCCAAAATAGGTTAACAGGCATCTGAAGGCAGCCTTCAGAAAAGTCCTGGTGGAAAAAATCATGACCAGTTTTTTGCATCCTCCTCCCTCCTCCACCTCCAACTTAAGGTCATATATTATGTAGGTTCGATTTCAGGAAATTCTTGCCCAACACTGTGCAACCTGTAAATCCCATCCACAACCCCTGGTCACATAGCTTTTAGGGAAAGACAATAAGTATTTCACTGCTTTCACAGAGACCACATACACTACAGCAGAGCTGAGGTCTCTTCTTAACATTGTGTTCTTTAATAAGCTCTGATGACCTTTTAAAACTGCTGTGCCTTTCTAAGGGAATGAGAAGGGAGCATGACAGTTGGTTACCACTTAAAATCTTTTTTTTTTTTAACATTCATTTTGCTTCCTTTCTTTCTTTCTTTCCCTGGGATCCTATCACTTAATATTCACGTTTCCTACACTTGCCAGAACTTCTATCAGTGGCTCATCCACTGACTTCTTTCAGGTTGCAAGTATTAAATCCAGGCATCCACATGATATATGAGCCAAAACACTGTCCATAATGCACTCTGCTAACTTTCTGGACCAAAAGCAACACATGCACAGATTCTCTGGCAGATGCCTCCTAACTTACCATATATAAATTATTCAGCACTGATTCATGTACTTAAAAAAAATGTGACATCCAACTGGAGCTTTTCCTATACTAAGGCATTAAAGGCAACACAAGGCACTGTCCAAGATGAAAAGACAGAACATAAATTGGTCTTAACAGGGAAGGGTTGGGAAACAGAGCTGTCTCAAACCTTAGTGGTTTAAAAAGGTTAATAAAATGCCAGTAGGTTATATACACCATCCACTATCCATTTTCAAATAAATGTGTGATAATACAAAAGTCATACTTGTCTCTGAAGTGTAGAGAAAGATTGTGCACAAGAAACAGTATTTTTTAAAATTCCACAAATTCTGAACTCTGACTTTCAAAGGGAAACCAAGGCACTTTGTAGTCTTTCAACGAGACACATTCAGTGCCTGATAAACCCACATTCTGTAACCTTAGTGCTAATTATTAAAGCACAAAAACGGTATACGATCCCCATCATCAAAATGCATTAAATTCCACCAAATGAGGAGATCCTGTTAGATATTGCATCAAAGTACTTTAAGAACGCTTGTCAATCCCATGCTGCTCTACTTAAGAGCTCTGTGTGGAGGCTGGCACTCTTCAGGTTGAAGATGGAGAGACAGTGAGGGCCTGCAGAGGGAGCGTTCCGCTGGGCCTTCAGGAGACACCCCACACCCCTGCCATCAGGAGCAGTATGACTTCAGCAAGTTTTTCAACCTTTCTGGGCCTTGGTTGTCTTGTCTACTAGAATGGAGAAAATACCTTACTCTGTCTTAAGGCCGAGGGCTGGACCAGATGATCACTTAGGATCTCGTTCAACTCCACGATTCTATTCTGTGCTCTTTTTCTTGTTGGAATCTGTGTATTCTTTCAGTAATTAATCATTATTACTGATAACCCCAAATCACTCGATGCAACAGAAATCCACTTCTTCTGGTTTTACTATCACTGGAAATGAAGGACAGCTAACTCGTACTCTCCTCCAACTCATCAGCTTTCAGATATATCAAGACAGCTCTGCAGTTACTTCTCATTTCAAAAATATAAATCTGGAACCTTGAGTCCTATTGTTTTTATGTACTGAGTCTCAATAACTTGACTGGTGCAGTCAACATCTTTCCTGTACTTCGAATACACTTAAAGACAGCTGGCGGGACTTTAGGGGATTCTCACCGAGTCAGAGATCTCTGATATGGGAACGCCTAGGGACAAATTCCAGGGACCACAGTTAACTGTTAATCAAGCACAGGGAAACTCTCATAAGCACCAATGGATCGCATTACCTTTTCTAGGAAGCTGTCTTCTTCCTGAGAGCAGAGCAGGAAAAGAAAATCATTGACAGATAGAAAATGATTAGAATTAATTCACAGAATTAGAAGCAGATCAGTATTAGAACTCACTAGCTTATTAGATACATATGCATTAAACAGCTTTGAATTATTTGAATACATTACAATCAATGAAAATGGAACACATTCTCCATATGCAAAGTTCTCTATTATGCCTATTTAATTTTGTGCAGTTTAACTGAGAATATCTCTCCAAAAACATGCATGTGCATTCCTAGACTTTTGTCCCCTTTGGCAGCTGGCAGCCAACCCAGCCAAATGCCCACTGATGTCTCTTCCTGTTTGTCTGCTGCTTGGAGGCAGGTCTGCTGCTGCTCTGTGTGGCTTCTCACCTAACCTAATGCCACCTCAATGGAAGAATTTGGTTGTGGGCCCAACAGTGGCCATTCTGAAGGAGATGGTAAGTGACTCTCCTTTCCACTGCTATTCCTCTCATCCCAGCTAGCCTCCTAAGCAATATCCCAGGAGTCCTTTCCATCCCCACATACCCACATCCCTCCTCAAAGGCTCCTAGAGTCCCAAGATTTGCAGGTCCCTCTGAAAAGTAAATGAATTTCATTTCAGAACTTTGTGGATCAGAAGATCCATCATTATTCCCTATTTTTGTTTTCCTATTGGGTATTAGGGAAAAAAGGGAAGCAGAGGAGAGGAAAGAAGAAGCCTTTTTAATCTCCTCTTTTATGTTATTATTATAATCCAATAATAATAACAGCAACAATTTCTACCACTGCCACTTATGGAGCATCTGCCATGTACCAGGAACTGTGAAAAGTGTTTATATACAATGTCGTTTAATCTGCACATGTGTGCAAAGTAGATATTATTCCCACTCTACAGATGAAGAAACTGAGGCTCCGAGACAATAAATTATTTGCTCAACATCACACTTACTATTAGGTAGTAAGTGGCAGAATAAGGATTGGAACCCAGGTCTGACCAACTCCACAATCATTATCACTATGCTCCCTTGGACAACTCAAAAGGACAATGTGATTGCTTCCTGGATGTAGACAGGGAAAATCTGTGAGAATGTGTTCTACATAACAGGCTAAAGACAGTGAGAAACCCCAGTTACAAGGCAGAATGGTTAATGGAAAGAGTATAGGCACTGGTATTAGACAGTCCTGGGTACGAATCTTCATTCTGCCTCATTAACTTTGTATAGACCTCAGGCAAGTTACCAAACTTCATAGAGCCTCAGTTTCTTCATCTTTAAAACAGGAATACTAATATTTACCTCATAGGGACAGGGAAGCAGCCTACCACCAAGGGTGGGGTGGCAGTGGTGGAGCAGTATGCCAGCAGAAGGCCTGTGTCTCTCAAAGCTCCTCATGCTTCCCCAGTGACTCCCAGTTGGAATCCTCCCAGCCCCGCTATGAGCCACTAAGAACTCAAGTATAAATCACATGGCTCGAGTCTGACAGGGAAAAGGAGAAATCCCAATCTTACTGTCCAAGATGCGTGAGGGTGGGCGTGTGGGAGTATGTCTTCCCTGACATTCCAAGTGGTAATACTGAATGCATTTCCCCCCAAACTATTGTTATACATGGCGATCAGGTTTTTTAGTATTGTTAGATATGAGGGTGTCTGTCATGGAAAGATGCATATTATCTTTTAATTCTATTTTTCCATGAACCTTTTGAAGTACCCTCATACATTAAAACTAAACATGGTTTTGTGGGTTTACCAAGACTCTTAAATACTACATGAAATAAAGTAGTCAGAGTAGTGCTTTATAAGTTACATGATATTTATAGTATTGTAATTACAATACTTTTTAATGTGAAAGTTAATTTTCTGTGCCAAAATCTAATTTAATACAATTCTGGAGCACAACCTTTTATAAAATTTAGGACTACTTGTTAAGAAATAGAGAATCCACCTGTCTGAAAGACTTTATGTTTTTTCTCCCATGAATACATGATACAGAATACGATGTGTAAAACTAGGCAGAGAATTTGTATTCTAACCTGTCAAACCAGGCCCTCAAAGTTTTCTATGAGCAGTAACCACCTGCCAGTACAAGGCACTGTGCTAAATGCCTCTGGGGGGAGGACAAAGAGAAATGAGGATACACAAAGCAGAAAGCCACAGTTAGTTCCTGACCCTGGTTTGCAACTGATTTGGGGTGAGGAGTCCCAAAATTTACAGCTTGATATTGTTATAATTCACAAATACAAGTTCTGAATAAATGGTTATTAGCTCTTAAAAGAATCACAGGATTTTTAAAGGGTAGAGATGGGGAGGGGATATTACAAGTAGAAGAAGCAGAAATTAACAAAGGCATAGAGAAGGTAAATCACAAGGTGAGATTAGAAAGAAGTTACTCACCTAGTTTGTGAGGAGCATGGGGTATGTCCAGAAAAATAATGGGAAATCTGAAAAGGTATGTTTAAAGTCAGACTTTGGGGGGGGGGCCTTGGTTAAGGGATTTGGATTGTATTTTGCAGGCATGGGGGAACCACTGACTACCTTTAAGCAAGGAAGGGATAGGCCCCAAAGCAGCAGTACAAAGATCAATCTGACAGCCCTGAATAGGAAAAACTGAAGAGGCAGGAGGAGAGGGGGAGGGAGAGAGGAAAAGAGGGAAAGAGGGAAAAGGGGAAAGGGGGAAAGGGGGAAAGGGAGAAAGGGAGAGAGGGAGAGGGGAGGGAGGGAGAGACAGACAAAGGGAATCATTAAAAGGCTATCGAGGTAGGTCAAGCAGGAGAGAGTAAACACCGATTTTGTTTTTTTCATTTGATTTTAAAAAGTAGAGTTGTCCACTCTCTGCAAAGGCTATATGTTTGATCACATTAAAAAGGGGAACCCAGTTAAGGATTTCTCCAGTGGTGCAAATTTGGCACATAGCAATTCCAATGAAATGATTCTTTACCCCAATATTTACCCTTAGAAGAATGTTCCCAGTAGTAAATGCAGCTAAAATAATATAAAAGAGTCATTTAGAGACAGAAGATTCAATTTTTTTTTTTTTGGTAGCTGGCCAGTACAGGGATCTGAATGCATGACCTTGGTGTTACCAGCACCATGCTTTCCTAAGTGAGCTAACTGGCCAGCTCAGAAGATTCAAATTTTAAAAACAAAAAGCAAGGGGCCGGCCCGGTGGCGCACTGGAGAGTGCGCCGCTTGGGAGTGCGGCGGCGCTCCCACCGAGGGTTCAGATCCCATGTGGAGACTGGTTCCCGCTCACTGGCTGAGCGCGGTGCGGGCGCGGCACCGAGGGTTGCGATCCCGTTACCAGTCAGTAAAAAAGACAAAAAGGTAAAAAAAAAAAAAGCAAAAAACTGGAAATTCTAAAAAGGATTAGTTCATATGAAATACAGAAAGAAGAAATACAAACCATACACCTAACAAAATAAGAAATGGGTGGTTAGATCAGTAGGACAAAGTAAACACCTAGTGAAGAGATCACTGGGGAAAAGTTAATCACCAAGTTGTTATTCCTGTTATTCCAAATTTTTGATATCATTCTCCCAATAGACATGTCCCCAAGCAAATATAGTCTCTCCATCCATCCCTCAACTTTTCTCATCTCTGTATGTACAACCAAAACCCTTAACCAGATTTGGTGAGTTCAAGCCTCGTCTCCTTTCCATTAGTCCATTATACAAGCAACACCAGAATGTTCTTCCAGATATGTCAATTTACAACTTCACACAAATCATCAAAGCCTTCTGATGGTTCTAGATGCCCCCTGGCTCATGCATAAACTTATCTGTTGACTTCAAGACTGTCTATCACCTGCCCTTATCCTACCTAACCAGCTTCACCCATTCTTATCCTTAATCTTCATTTTTTCCAGGGAAATCTTACGATTTTTCATACATGGTCCTTTCACTTTCACCTTCTACCTTTTATTCAAGATGTTTAATACATGTTTCTTAAGTACTTGGACTTGACTGAAAATACTTCTATGACTAACCCCAAATCACCTTCCTAGTTTACTTTATTCTTATGTGCTGAACTTATTTCTAAGTCATGTTGGTGTTACATACATCAAATATTCATTAAAACCAAAATAGGCTGATTCTGAAATTGATTTTTACAGAGATTAACTGGTCAATCAATATGCTTTTATAGCGTATAAGGGCTTCAGTAAACAGTACAGGAAAGAAATCTGTTGTTAATACAAATTACCAGCATTTTAAACAACTCAATTTAAATGACTTTCCAAAACACTGACTTACGTACCAAACACACTGAACATTAGCCAGTAAAGGTGGTTAATGTTCGGATTATCTCTAACCAAACTCTTTATTAACCACGATTTAGGATTTAGCCTTATTGTACATGCAAGTATAATAGGAACCCACATAGAGTCCATAATACTTTGTACCCAGTGTGTAATGAATAAATATTGATGATCATTTGCTACTCAATATGCTAGTTAATAAAACAAAAAACCTATCTTAATTCTGAAAGAAATAAAGATGATTACAACAGTAGATTCTCATCTGTTTCCCACTCATGCTAATCCCAACTATTCTAGGAGTGGCAAAGTCACTGTTACTGAGAAGGGCAGGAAGAATGAAAAGTACTTATGCCAGTTATTTCATTCTGCATTTACTGGGAAGACGGTTTGGCACAAGAATCTTTCTGAAAAGGCACATGCATTGAACTCATTTCTGGCTTCACCAACATTTTAGAGTAAATAATACGATATGATAGAGGACAGGCACCATTATTAATAGTATTGTCTCATGGGATTTGAAATATCATCTTGGGTCTTGGAAAAAACACAAACACTAGACCTAAGGAAGCACTTCAGAAGGTCAAAATCAAGTCAAAACAGAGTGAGAAGGTATTAAGAATGGGGTACTGATTATTTTAGATTTCTTTTTTACTGCCCCACACTAATATGGATAATTTCCTCATCAATAAGATATAAGAATAACAGAGAAATGCAACACAACGTGAATCAGAACCCTGAATCCTACAAAATAAAAACTTTAAAAGAAT